GCTTGGGACTTTGAGGCGACACGGAAATTATCCCCCGCCCTTATAGTGACGTAGTTGCATTTTATTGGCTGAGAATGCCGATTATTGAACGCGAATTGGCAATCAACCCCTGTCCATCAAGTTAGAGGCGTGTCCTTATCGTGTCGTTAGGGAAAGCACAGCAGTCCTCGCAGTTCATACAAGTGTCACCCGTCCCGGTCTCTTCCGTACATCAACTGTTAAAAATACAAGCTAACGGTTGGTAAGCGACCGGCGGCAGGTGAAATGGACGAACCTTCGGAACAAATGAGGCCGCTACTGAGAACAGTAAGTACCCGCCCAGCACAGTTCACCGTTAGCCTACCATGATGTGTGTGGCTCTTTGTCCGTGTTTGCCCCTTGTTTGCCAAGCAGCAGCAGAAGTAGTGATGCTTGGGAGTCAGATTCAATAAGGCACCATCCGGCGGCTGCTAATGTTAGCCGGCTTTCTACTTCAGACACGTGGCATGGGTACAAGTTGTGTTAATATCTCTTGAGAAAGTTAGCGAATATGTTAATTCAAACGTTTTTTATAGAGAGGTGTTTCTCTGACCACTTTATATGTATGTTTGAGTGTATCTTTACTTTAGCTAGTAGCGTTACTTGCTAACGGTAATGTAGTAGCCGGGCAGCGAGCAGAGTCAAGCCTGTTTTGTGACGTTATTAACGGTGGTTAAATGGTTATCCTTTTTCTGGCAAGTCTAGACATACGTGTTCATGCATTTACACAAACTAAAACGTGCACATAAATACCTTTCTGTTAGCATTGTGTGTTACCTGAGTAAGTCTGACTTTTAATGCCAGCTGCTTTGTAGCATTTCCCCTCACGCTCAACAGGTCTACTCTTCCGTTATTTTATAGTGTGTGCCCTAGTTAGTTAGTTTAGTTGATACGATCCACTGGTACGTTTATCCATATAACAAGGCTAATTTGCATATCAAATGCGCCCAAAATAGATCCGCCTTCTTGTGTGACATTTCCAAGTCAGGAAATGCTGCTAATTTGACAGTGAAAGCTAGAGAAGTAAAACAAACATGAAACTGGAAGATAAATTGTTTTGTACATTATCAGACACGTGAGTGACAGTAAATCTACCAAACTCTCTTGAATGTGAAATTTTAACTGAGTTGTTAGTCAAGTAGAGGCCCACATCCTGGCTGTTGGGCGTAACTTTACAGTCACAGATGGGATGATGAGCATCAAACACGCAGCAGTGTTAACGAGACCAAAAAAGAAACTTGTTTCAGAGCTAAGTTTAATATGCATGCTGACTATGTGACATCAATGCTGGTGTATGGTTGTCCACTACTACGTTTGTGTGTGTGTGTGTGGGGATGACCCTATATGTGTGTGCATGTATGAACATGTGCATGCCTCGGACGAAACTTGACCCCTGGCTGCCAATGGAAGGTGTAGCTGGATAGCTGTGCAGGCCTACTTCCTTCCCTGGCATGGAAGTCAATGCATTCACTGTGACACAGAAACATTCAACTGCTCCATACCTAACTAAGGCTCTGGGCTTATTAACTGTGCACCAATATTGGGCTCTACCCTTTGAGGATCAAGAGGATCCAAACAAATAGTTGTTTTTTTAGGTCTGCAGAAAAACATTTGTTTCAGGGATATATCTGCAGCTTCACAATAGATAATTCAAAATGGTATTGTAACACATGTTCAACCTTTACCAAATATAGTGCTTCCTGTGATTTGAATATTGCCAATATAACAACATTTTGTCGGCCCTTCACCCATCAAAATGCACTTCCCAAGGAACATACCCTTGGTTGAGCTTTGACTCAGGCATTTAGCTAGTGTGTGCATGTTGACAACGCATTAATCTGGTTTAAACAAGAAGACTCTTGTTGTGATCAGGCTTGCTGGTTGACCAATGGAGTCATTTTGAAAATGAAACATTGCTGCCATTGGCTGTATAAATGGTCTTGACCAGTGATTCAATTATAATTAGTTTTTTTCCCCAACTTTTAATAATTTCAAACACTAGGAATTTGTTTTACACTAGGAATGAACCCATAGCATGTTATGCCACGGTTTTCTGTTTGGTGTTCTGCTGCATTTATGTCACCACTTCTTCTTAGGCTTTATTTGTGGCATTTATAGAAGGCTACTTAGAAGGCTTTGACTTAGAGATGAACCTTCTTCTCTGCTGCGTGTTTTCCATGTTTAGCCTTTACTACGAGTGCTTAGTGGCCAGATTAGGCCTTTACACAGTGTGATGGACTCTCTGCTTTTACACTCGTACCAGTAAAGATGGGTTGAAGTTCGAACAGCTAAAAATCAAAAGACACTGAAAGAAAAATTAAGGATTATGATAGCAATATTATAGTTGGAACACCAGTTTAAAACTTAAAGCTTAAGCCCTTTTTGCATTCAGTCAATCTGTCATGTCTTGCTTAATACAATCACACTTTTAGTTCCTGACCCCCTGACCTCTGTTTATCAACTTACTCATTTGGTTGTACAGTCTAAGCTTTGATTGAATTTTGCTTCACATGTTCGCCAGCATTCCAAGAAAAGAGGGATTTGTACGTCCTGCTGCTCCACCAGTGCAAAAGGGTTTTAGTCCAGCCAGAGTAGGCTCTATTAGCTGAACTATTATTGGCTCAGCACTTACTGCTAGGGTTAGTGAGTGTTTTATGAAGCTTACTCACTGTATGACATTGCTGAATGGGTAATTACACCGAATGAGCCTCTTTGCCAGTTCTGTTGGTGCTGTGTTCTGTTCAGCTATACTATTAAGATAATATGCTAACAATGATTAATTCCTACCTTAACCAGGCTAATTGGTGTACACAACAGTGATATGTTATAAATTGTCTAATGTGTATCATAATCCCTCAATTCGGTTCTGACTCAAAGCAAATGTTGTATTTCAATTCGATATTTTTTGCTTGCCACAATAAGTTGAAATATTTATAATTATAGCATATTTGTTTAAGTTCTATAAGGCTCACCTAAATAAACTTCAATACATTTACTCCTTCATTCCCTTCACCACTTACATTTCTACTTGTCTAGCATCTAAATTACCGCTGGGAGTAACGGAACAATACAGTAACGGTCATTTTAAATACAGAAAAGCAGTTTAAGGCCCTGAGAATGCACTAATCTATGTGGTAGTATGCCTGTCTACAGAGGATTAGAATTGTGCAATTAAATAAAAACTTGTAAAATTCATCAACCCTATCATTATACTGTTAAGTGTGGTCTGATTGTTGATGGTTGAAGTGTGAGCCTGATGGTAGCATATAGGCGTAATGGTTTTTCAGTTTGGTGGTGATATCGGCTTAACCTGGGATGGATTATGGATTTGAGACATTGAGCGGTTAATCTTTGTACCGTAAGCCTCTTTCAAGATGCACACGCAATCCTGTACCACAAAGCACTTTCTGTTGTACCTTACAAGAAGTGGAAATTATAGCATTGCTGTAAAGGCATGAGTTTATTGATGAAAAAATTATCAATTATCTCTTCTTCCTGAGCGTATTTGCTGTTTCCCCTGCCTGTATGAAAATGGACAGAATACGATGTTGATTTGTCTTTATACAGATCAATCCAAGCTTTTTTTAAATCATGCTAAGATTGCATGTTTATTACTATCAATAATTCATGTGGTTGTTTTTTCACACCACAAACAAACAGTCACAGAGACTGTTGAAAGCGTGTGAAAGTTTACTGACCCAGGCCAGCTTTAAGTGGTCTGTTATCTTTTCTGTACCAGGGGTTCCATTGATAGCTTTCACTCAAGCCCACACAACATCAAACTGATCCGTGTTGGGTACTAAAGATTCCTCAATCTCTCTAGCCCTCTTTTTTTATTCTTCATACGCAACTGTTTTTTGAACAACACATTGCAACAAGTTGACTGAGGAATGGATGTGATTCTTTTCGTGTCTTGCATTACAATAAACGGTTTCATTTGGGGTTTTAGACTGTTGAACACATTTAGAAGAAGGAGAAGAAGAAGAAGATGGCCCTTTATTAATCCCCCGAGGGGGAAGACATTTGAAGACATAACTAGTTTTTGATATTGTGTAACTAAATTCTTAATTCTAACATTTATTGATTAATTAATAATACAAATAATAGCTGCAGCCCTATTTTAAAGTTAAAGCTCTAAATTGTTATATTCTGTCAGTTTTCTAAAACACTTTAGTAAAAAAACAAACCTTGCTGCATTAGTAGTGCACGTGGTCTTGCTTTCTGTTCAGTCTCAAGTTGAATTCAGCCTTTAGATGGCACTCTTTCTATTTACACTGCTCCTCATTGCCAGGTGGTATCTCTAGGCTTGGTTTCATCTTTGCCCTTATTATTTTGTAGTAAATCTACTTGGAAGTGACTGGCACTGTTAACAGGTGATACATCAAAGCCAAGAGTATCTATGGACTGCGACCCAGGATGTTAAATAAAAAATATTTGCTGCTTGGGTTTCATGAATATGTTCTTTTTGCCCTACTCATATAACAGATCTTTTTGTGGACTGGAAACAACCGAGACATCGTTTCTTTTAAAAATAAAATTACAGGTTGTTGAAAGACATGTGCAACCTTCAGGCTCTAATAGGGATTGTGAATGTCATAGGCATGAAGACATTGGAAAATGAATGAATACACAGCACTATCTTTCCTTTTTCAATTCATTGCACCCTCTGAGGAATGCCAAGCTCACACGTGTTCTTGTTTCTATTTATCTTTGTTGGGGGTGGGTCTTCATTTGTGACCTGAATAACTCTGCGGTTGAGCATTTGGATGTCCTCCAAAGGTGTGTGTCCGTCCCCTGTGTGGTTCTGTGTATGTGCGTTTCTAAGCTCTTGGCCGGGCAAATAAAATATTCATGGTGGCATGGTGGGATTGGCTGCTGAGCCAAGAGCGGGCTGACAGGGTAGAGCAGGGCACCGTGTTTTTAGAAGCAGCTCGCTCCCTCTCTCCCCTCCTCTCTCTGTATAAAGAGATGAGCGGAGGAAGCGGCAACAGACAAGTGCGACAGTGTCTCTGTTAGCGCTTGGCTCACACACACCTTCTACAATAGAGATCAGAAAGCTGCCTCACGCCCCTGCTGCCTGTTCTTTGCGGATGTTTTAGTCTAAATGGACGATTCGAGCGAAGGGGAGCATGTGCTTACGGTACGTCTGGTTCTGTGTTTGTGTGCCTCACTGCTGTGTTCTGCACTGAACAGGATCAAGTGCGTGTTTTTTTTGCGTGCTTGTGTTTTGTATTGGTTTGTCCTCTTGTGTTCTACGGCAGAGTGGAGTGGTCTGTGCTAATCAATGTGGCAGGTGGTCAGTGCAGAGAAGCTGTTGCCTCATCAGAGACATGTCTCTCGAAATGGAAATGTTTCCTTTCTACTCCTTTATCGCCTCGAGGAGCAGAGAAGAGAGGAAACTCACAGTTATGGCTGCTTAAAGGAGCGGGACAAGGAGAACAGGAAGAGGGGAGAAAGACGAGGAGTGTTAGGGAGAGAGGGGGGGAATGGGTCTGCCAAGGTGGCTGAATACAAACAAGGTGCATGCTGTCAATGGAGATGTTTATTGACTGACTGACGTTAAAACAAATGAAATGCTTGTTTCTATTCAGTCTAGTGCAAAAATGATTACGCTCAGAGTTGGAGCAACGAATGAGGAAGGGCTGTTGGAATCAAAAGGAAAATATTTGTGAGGCAGAGAGAGGGGATGGTTTCCATCTTTAGGTTTGTGTTTGCCTGCGAAGTCTGTCCATGTTTGGCAGTGATGATTACATCTTATGGAGACTATGATTAGAATCTGTTTATTTTCCAACGTTTCTGCCAAATGAAATATCTTCCCAGCTTTTTAAATGTGAAGATTGTCTTCACTCAGGAGACATTATATATATAGGTTACACGCTTCCCACTGCCTCTGCTCAAACATGGTCAGGCTGCAGATAGGTAAATAATTGAATGGCTAGTTGGCAAAAGTCAGCAACATATAGCTGCGATCAGATCATACCACTTTTTTAGGGCTGCACAATAGGACATTTTAGTTTTCATCGCAATGTCAACTTGCGCAATGAACACATCACGAATGTTGTTTGAGCACTATACTGAAAGCAGCAAAGGGACAGAAGCACATTTAAATATCAGTTTTTTCATTGCAAGTTAGATCTTTATCACAATATTTAACATATCTCAGTGTTTCCATTTGCTACTCAGCACCTGCTAAGCATCATGGATGTTTGTGCCTTCCTGAAAAAAGTTTCTTAAATGATGTTATACAAATGTTATGTCCATATATATATTCTAATGTACATCATTTGGCTGGGAGCCATCAATAATCTCTCAAATGTCTATCATTTTTCTGTTTTCAGAAATAATTAAATTAGTTACATAATTCCAATAAATTACATTCATTTGCAGTATAGGACAATAATTGCATCCATAGTATGCAATTGAACATATTGGCAGTCTGAGACGGGAGATTTGCAGTAATCTAGAGGGACAGGACTCTCGCTGTCACACCTCTCTTACGTCAGTCTCTACGGATTGGAACTGGTCCCAGTGAAGCAGTGCTGGCGAGGAGCTGAGATTACAGGAAACAGACCTTGTTGAGTGGCTGCTTGTTTTATTCACCGTCTGTTTGACTGAAGAGGTGTTTGGCTGCTGCTTGGTTAAATCACTCCTGCATTCTAACAGAAGTGGGTTTACCTACAAGTTTTCAATGAATTAGAAAATCACGTTTAAATGTATGAAAAATGAAAATAAGTGATTAATCAATCATTTGAATCGGAAACAAAACATTCCAAAGAGCCAAACCTTCTCTGGTTCCAGCCAATTGTTTTTATTTATCTTATCGTTTATTAAAATGAATGTCAACAAAGTTTCGAACTGTAAGGTGTAGAATGTCTGCAATTTTAAATGTGCCACCTGAATCGTGATGCATTTGGGCATTTATCAGTATTTATGACATTTTATTCGGGCAAAATAATTAATGGTTCCCAGTGCGGTTTTCAACCTAGTAGCGACTTGGAACGGTATTCTGCTGGATTCAAGTTTGCAAGTGATTTATGAGGAAGGACAACTCCACAGGGCGCGTTTTTTTAAATGGACCAAAATCAGCCTAGGAAAAAGCATAAAAACATTTAAAATACAATAAACGTCAATATCATTAAATCCTAGACCCAACAAAGACCACAGAAAAGGACATATGTTAATTTACTCATTTAAGAAAACAATCTTGATGGTAAAGTTGTAAAATTCCACTGTGGGACTAATACTATATTTCTGAATCTAAAGTCACCCTGCCCAGATACATTAACAGATTTCCCAACTTTTTTCCACATCTTTCATGCTGTACTTGAGAAATTGTTGTATATAGATCAATTGTGAGTTCCAACAGAGTGCTTTCTTTCCTATGGGATGGAACATTGTAAGCCTTGTGTTTACTCTTAAAGCTTCATGTGAATCATAAATCCTAAACTCCTGCATAATACCCAACACATTGGTGATTTTCTCACCTAAGCTGCTGTAAAACATACAGACATGCTTACAGTGTGCATCAGATCAGCATTAGTTGCATGGAATTTAGATGCGGTATGTTGAGTTTTTCAAAACTGCAGCAGTACGATTTAGCAGATGTTGTTTGGGGTTTTTACTAAGCATTGTTATCACCTTTAAGTTTTTGTTTTTTTCGTTGTGTCAATGTATGTTGTCAGTGTTTGTTTGGTGGTGAAGCCCTCGCATATGCTCTATGGAAAAGGGAAGCAATACAGCTACATGTCATGTCTGTAGGTGGTGAATGTTTTCTTACCAAAAAGCTTTTGTGGAGTATAACTATGAAACTAAGAACAGCTGGAGTCTTTTATCTTATTGGACTTCATGTTGTTGTTTGCTGGTTGATGTGGTTGGGAGCAGAAGTTTGTGTTATTGTAAAAACAATATATATTCATTATTTTCACCACTCATATTTACACATATTTTTGTATTGTTGTCTGGTAAAAACATTCCCACGAGACGCTCATGTTAAAAAGATTAGTGGATGAGGGGCATGATTAGAATACGAAATGATGAGACACTTTTTACCGTGTGATTGTGTTGGCACTTGGCAGGTTGCCTGCTTGTGTTGCCTTCCTCTCTTTGATTGTTATTTGGAACCCACTCTCTACTCGTTCAGCATTTGTACCCTCTGAGGTGTTTTGCTTGAGCAAAGCCGGGCTTATCCTGCACCAGACTCCATGCATGCTTTCACTTCTCCACTCAGACTTGAATCGTTTTGTTCCCTGATGACATCGATGGATTTCTGATACGAATTCCCACCGGTGTCCGACATTGGTTCTGTCAGGTGGAGCAGAATGTGTAGAGCACTGTTCCTGTCATGTGGCAGCACATGTCTCAGTGGACCCTGAACGGGCAGGAAACACTGTGCTTACATTTATGCCTACTGAGGGTTACCTCATACCATGGTTACACTTGCATTCAATGTTTTCCTTCCATGTTTTTATCTGGCATTTATCAAGCTTCCTGGTTACTGATGTGTTGATCCAGATCCACTTGGATAAGTTGGCCTGCATCCTTATCTAACACTAGTTTCAGGCATATTAAAAACAATCATAATGGTCATCACTACACAAATATCTATCTATATCCACACAGTTAAGATAACAGTGCTAGGCAAATATAATCTGGTTTCCTTAATTGTTTAGGTGAAGCCAGATAACTATTATGTTTTGTCATATATTGAGGTCACTATTTGGTGGCTTTTCCACTCTGCTGACCATTCTTTTTCCTGCTCTCTAAGCCCACAAATCCAGCTCCCCACTGGCACTGCTTCTGTAGCCCAACCACAGCTGTGCTTTGTAGGCATAATGGCCAATTTCCTCCCTGGCCTGGGGACTGTGGCTGATAGACTGGGGTTTATTTTGGACAAAGCTATGCGACGGGTTGCATCATGTGTTCTTAAAATGTACCAAGCAATGTGGGGTTGAGGGCACGACAGACTTTAACACGTGCATATACAGGCACGACAGTGACATGCATATATACTATAGAAAACCTCATAGTGAGTAAACTGTTGTTTACACAGTAAAAGTGGTATTTTAAGAAGCTTAAAAATAAGACGATACTCATGAAGCAGGAATGGTTTTACTCCAGCTTTGTGCACCCTGCTAGTAAAAGTTGGTTCATGTGATTCTGGCACAATAGGAAATTACAACTATGACCAGTAGCCAAGCAAAAAAGTATTTTATTAACTGTTTTTAAATGTGTTAGAATGTTTTATTTAATTACCTAAAACTGCATGACATCAAGTACAAATGTTTGTCCTTTGGAAATCTCTGAAGGTTTCAGCTACCGTAATTTTCGCACTATAAAGCGCACCTGAATATAAGCCGCAGCAGCTAAATTGAATGATGTGTACATATATAAGCCGCACTGGACTATAAGCCGCAGGTGTTTAAATGTTTAATTACCATATCTAAGGGTTCGTGCACAGAGGGGATTGTCGGGAAAGAGATGGCTGTTTGAGGAAGCTCCCATTTATTAACATTTCAACAAACAAGTTGCATATTTGCATAACGTATTCAAGTGTTACCATTTAGTGCAATAGTAGCTACAGAACATGTACTGTGCTGTGTAAACTGTACTGTATCACATAGCGTTTCAGACACACAAACTTTTCAACTTTCAAACTTAGGAGAGGTTACGTCTTCTTTGTGTTATAAGATAGGACTGGCAGGGTCAGTCAAACCTGGTCGTTATCCCGCGGAGCTCCTGTCCCGGTCCCTTGCGCTCTCTCGGCCCGGTGTCTACAGGGCTAGCCCGAGGATCCCCCGCTAGCATCCCCCGCTAGCATCCCCCGCTAGCAACAGGCCTTCAAAACAATGTTAGAGGCGCTCCTGAAACAGCGTCAAAACGGGTATATTTCCCGGGCTTTAATATACGCTTTGTTTCACTCGTTTGTTGTTTTGCTCCTCCGTGTTTTCAGAGCAAGTCGTCGGAGCTGTAAAAATCCATAGATTAGCCGCACCGTTATATAATCCGCAGGGTCGAAAAATGGGAAAAAAGTCGCGGCTTATAGTCCGAAAATTACGGTAATTGACTGATAGACCAAACATTAGCTTTTGTTGTGATGCTGGAAGCTGAAAATCCAGTGACCTTTCATCTTAAATGATCATGACCAACCACTCCAGCTTTGGTCAATTTGACTCACCTGTAGGGGGAGGACCTTCAGTTACTACAGATAAATTCATGTCTTGCTGCTCTTCTGCCTGCAGCTGTATTCTTACCGCTCCTCACAGAGGCACTGTCAGAGAGCAACATGGCTCATTATCATGCAAATCCACTAGCAACTGGGACGCACCAACACACAGGCACAATCACAGATGGCATCATTCTTTGTAGGTGGGGTTCCAACAGGAGAATAATTATGATAATATATGTGTGGAACTCTGAATGTCATTGAAGACCTATTCCTAATAGGAAGCCAGTAAGGAAACAGGGAAAGCAGGAGATAGAAATAGAGTTGGTACCCTTCTACCAGAGTGAACCTTCAGTGTGGTGGAGGGTGACAGGCATGCGGGGGCAAAGGCACACGAGGCCCTGATGTCATCCACATATCGTGTGTCTTTTCACCATGTGGCTGTCATCGTCACTTTTGTTTCTACACCCTCCTGCATGGCAGCAGAGCCTCTCTGTGATTGGTTGAAGTGATCAAAAGGATCAACCAATTGGGGATTGTGTTGCATAAAAGGGTTTGTACACGAGACAGGAAGCAGCGTTTCTTTGAAGCAAAGTGTCTGATTTATGTTATATGTGTATTAGAAAATAATTGAAGACATTTATTTGACATGTTATGAACAGTCATCTGCAACATGGTATTAAAGCACAAGCTCTCAAAAAACCCTTTAAGATAGGATCCATACTGTCAGACATGTCACAAACGTATGTTATATATAGGCCTATATATTATTCAGGCCGATCTTATTAGCCTGGCTTTCAAAGCCACCTTCAGCTCACGGCTACCCTGTGGTGTTGACCGACTCTATATGAATGTGTGTCTAAAAAAAGGGTTTCCTTCTTTGTCGCAATACATCATGCCTGCTGATCATGTGGCCGAGCTGGCTTGACTTCTATTGATTCACACCATGTGGTCTTAAAGAACAGCTGGAAGTATGAAGGTTACTTGAGGTGCCGAATTCAAATATTTTCACAAAGATGGGACTGACTGGGATGACATTGGTATCAGTTGCTGTTCCCTGATGGCGGACCCACAGGAGCTTCTCAAAGCACATATAGTTCTGTTTTGGCCACACATGCAAGAGTAACTGGAGATGTGTCTTTGGCTGCTTTAAATGTTCTTAAGGTTATAGAGTCAGAGCCAAACTCGGTTTGGGTTGAGGAGCTTCATGTTTTTTATATATGTATCTATGTATGTGTGTGTGTGGTTTTACATTTCCGTTGTTATGAGAGCTAGTTTTGAGTTTCAAATTGTACAATGTTTTGGTTGTATAAGGTTAGAGGTAGGATTGGGATATCCTCATCGTAAATGTTGATACTGCTGATGGTTAAGGCTGGGATTTCAGGAGTCCCCTCACACATATAGCAGTTGTGTGTTTAGGTACTGTTATCTGTTTTTTAAGGCACTATCATTTGATAAATACTAATGAAATGCACATTTTCAGCCATGTTTTCTAAAAACATTGTGTCTCCTCTAATTGGATCCTTCTATCTGTTGATGTTTCCATGACATGAATATCTGAATGATCATTTTCACTAAGGTCACATAACCTCTGTTTTAATGAGTGGAGCCAGCCTCTTGACGTTGCCATGTAACTCAACCTTTTATGGCATGGACCAACACTGAATATATATTCCAATAGAGGCTAATTTGTTTGTGGAAAAAAAAGATAATCTTCTTAATAAGCTAACCTGTTTATCAGAGTATATATTTGTGTGCTGGTCTATGATCATGGTCAACTAAACATTAAGTACACTTAATAATATTTTATTGTATGGCCCGAGATATTGACTGTCTTGTTTAAGTGTTGTGGTAATGTGTTGTAGATGTTGGCCATCTGCAAAGTCATTAGTTTGCTTTACTCAAACGCATAAACACAGAGCTCTAGAGTCATTTGGTATGGGGTTAAAAATACAAATAAAAAAACAAACAGGACCCTCACCAAACCCACCATTGATTAACATATCCGGGGTGTCAGAGGAAATGTAAAGATCTTCATGCTGTGTTCCCACCAGTCTTATCAGAGCCTACACGATCTGAGTCGGGGTCCTTCTCTGCCCTGCTGGTTCCCCAGATGCTTCTGCTAGATCTTACTAACAGATTCTATATCTGCCTCTCCTGTATATCAACCCACTTTCATATGTATTCCTTTCTAGCGACAGTCTATTTGAAATAAAGCTTGAATTTAAATATATTTTCATTCGGTCATTGTTTCTGCATTATCGGAGACACTTTATTGATTGTCTGTTGTGTCTGGTTATGTTGGCTACTGCAAGTAAGACGTGCTTTGAATGCGTTTTCTTTCCTAATGGTTCACCAACACTTCCCTTTAATGTCTATTGAACTGGATTAATTTGTCTTGACTCTCATTCTAAAAGCCGTCATTAAGGTATATTAAGCTATATGAACCAGTAAAATAATTGGGGTTAAAACAATTTATTTGCACACTACATATGTGTTTTGTTTTTTAATAAATAATGTATCCTTCAATCTCTTTTGCTCTTTCACCTGTTGTTCTCAGGGTCTAGATGAGGAGGCATTAGTGGACCATGGAAAGAGCAGCTTCAGTACTCACACAAACTACGAAAAGGAGGATTTGGACAGTAAGTTTGAAGCCACACCGACTGAAAATACCTTTCTTGTGTTAGAAAGGGTAGGTTTCCAAGGCCAACACACATTTTTATTGATCAAATGCTTATTCATTCACTTGTTGCCGATCACTTTAAGAGCGACACACCAGGCTCTGCATAATTAAGACACTTATAATTACATTTTCCGAGATTTTGTGTTAGAACTCATTACAAGACGTCCGATTCTCGCCAATACACAGCACTAGCTGTATGTTACATCTTATAGTCAATGCTGTTCACAACAAAAGTCCAATAATATGTCCTTCAGGTGTTTGCTACTTGTCCCTCTGTCCTCCCCCGCCAGCACTCTGCTCTTTCTTTATGTCCGTCTACAGCACTTCATATCCTCCATCCTCCACTCAGTAATATCTCCATTTATCCCTTCTCTAACCTTTTGTGACACCGGTGAAGCCCTCTGCTCTCTGTCCAGCCAGGCTGTTTATTTTCCATCTTCTTTCGTCTCCCATGTCTTTTCTCTCTCTTCCTCCGTCTCCGTTCCCCTCCAGCTGTTCAGCTCATGTGTCACTTGTGCCTTCCTGTGAGTGCTGCATCTTGGTTTCATTCCCCCAGGGTTCCCTCTCAAATCAAAGAGGGATGACTCATCTGTGAAAAATGAGTATTGGCAGAGTATGTAGGGCGAAAATAGGGCGTTTGCATTTCAGAACACAGTTCCTGTGTGGCAGTAAAAATAATGAGGGGAAGTAAATAAAACATTGGGGAGAACAGAGAGGGGTGAAAAAAGTTAAACATTGTACTCTGGTTTTCTTCAAGTTGATTATCCAGAGCACTCCATTGAAAAGCAGAGTTCTCTGTCTTCGGTTTTAAATGTTAGTGTTTCTGTTCAGATGTAAATACTGACACTGTTATTGTAGGCTCAACATTTAAGTTTTACAATGAAGCCTTGGATTTTGAAATTGAATTATTAAATCTTATTGTCTCGACCACACTGAAATGGTATTTGGTTTGCCATTGTCTTAGCTTTATTTGCTAACAGAGGTGGACATCTGCTGTGTGTGTGTGTGTGTGTGTGTGTGTGTGTGATGGGCAGGAAACTTCAAGGTCAACATGTTTTACGATAGAAATCTGGTCATCAGATTGTACAGAATACTTTAGATGGGACGTGTTGTAAACATTTAGAACTTTATTTCATTTAAATGATACATTCTATGTTAAAACAACAAGTTTACTTTATTTCCAATAAGATACATTTGTATGTCCCTTTACCACCTGCTAATTAGTCAGTTTGAATCATCTATAATGAAAATGTAACTCAAATTGTGAACTGTATTTAAACTTCCCCGAACCTTTATTCCTTTATTAATTTGTGCAAAAGAGTGTGTAAGAAAAAGATATCTAAAATGGTATTGCACTTGTCTTTTCCCTAGGCCACAGAGCGGTGTATGTAGGCGTCCATGTTCCTCTTGGAAGGGAGAGCAAACGGAGACATCGTCATCGAGGACACAGACACCACCGAAAGAAGAAAGAGAGAGACTCTGAGGAGGGGAAGGACGATGGCCGGGATTCCCCCACTGGTTGGAAACGCTTATCTTTAATGTCTTAATGCCCCCACACCACTCTTTTAGTTTGAATCCCTCTCTACATAGTTCCTATTACAAATGACTCTTCCTTGTCGTTAATGTCTTCTTTTAGAGCCTATAAAAGCCTATAGTTTAAGGCAGTGAACCACTCAAATCTATTCAACAAAAAATGGTGCTGTAATATGTACGTTTTTTTAGCATACAATATTAATTAAAGTGAAGTACAGCGCATATATCCCTTATATCCCTTCACAGAACTAAAGTATGCTTTTAAAAAAGGTTTAATGAGATGATGGAATCAAAGCTGAACTGTATAACATAAAAAGGCCCACATGCTGAAAACCCAACCCCAGGAGATTTTTAGAAATACTAACATATAAACTACGCATTCTGGTACACTCTGAGAAGAAAATAAATACATCTATTACCCGACATATTAATAATATTTGATGCCATTGTTTGTTTTTCACTTTGTTCTGACTGCTGAACTTGCTGCTCCACACAGAGAGAAGAGTAAAGAAGAGATAGTCTGTGTGAATTACTTTAAATTGTGGATAAGGGTAGATAGCTCCCATTGTTCTGTGACCTGTCAATCATCAAACCGGGGGTCATATTTCATCATGTGTTCATTTTGATCTGAAGTCGTACCCATGGATGTATAAAGAATAGTTCTACCGTAAAGTTATTCTCCGTGGGGACTCCCGGCAACAATCTTGATTCTGATTGGCCAGAAGATTTGAAAAAACATCAGCAAAGATGTTTTGTTGAGAAGATGATCCCTACGTGACAGAAGTTTTCAAAACCGTTTATGGTCTCCGGTACTTCCAGTCCAACGCCTACTGCATGCACAGCGTTAGAAAATCGGGCCTTCAAAAATAAAAGTTTGACTTTTTTCCCAAAAATAAAATTGATCTGCGACCCACTCGAAACGGGTCCGCGACCCACCAGTTGAGAACCACTGGTTTAGGGAATCATGTGTGACGTTAATTTGGAATAAAAAAAACCTTTTAAAAATACACAGATTACCAGGTTATATTACCTCTCTGCTTAAGCCTTATGCGTCTCCCTCTTTCAAACAGTTCTGAATAAACATTCAGCTCTAAAAGGCTTTAAAGGCCACCGGTAAATAGCCTCCGACACTGATTGAAGGCTATGACATTTTAAGAGAGGTGTGCTGCGTGCACTATGTGAGAATTTGCTGCGTCACCTCAACGGCAAGACTCATAGGCAGGCAAACAATGCTTTGAACTCTTTGAGGTGTTATCAAGTCCTTACGACGACACCAAACAAAACCTGCATTGGTCCGGTTATCATGTTGAGCACTGACTGAGGGCACACAGCATCTCAATCTATGAGACGGTTATATGTGTTTAGGTTTAGTTGCTGTCGGTAAGCACCAACAGCATCAATGTATGTACTCCCATGTGCATTATACACACCAGATCACCACACACTGCACCCATGTGTGAACAGAAAGAAGTCCCCTTTTGCCTCCATTCATTCGGTTTCTGCCTCCCTGTGGTGCTTAGTCTTGTAATCTGCCATGGCTATTTCCGTTTTCTCTTTGGATCGAGATGTCCTGATATCTGCCCTCTAATTCAATCAGGCATGAAAAGAAAATGTCTGGAATGCTTTCAGGTTTTCATTCTGCTCTTTTGCCTGCAGATGTATTCCTTCTTATGTAGTAATGAAAAGCAGTTAGTTATCTACTGGTCTCTCTGTACACTCCCACAAAGATTATCCTGTCCACCTTCAGAAAGCATTAGTGCAGTGGTAATGGCCAAACACACAGCCATACTTTCTCAGGAGGACCTAAAGAATTCTGTTTGATCATACTACCTTCTCCTGTGACCTAATATTTTCATCGTCATAACTACACTGTAGCTATGCACGTATGACAAATAAAAGCCTTGAAACCTTTTATTATGGGCCGATTTAATCTCCCCCTCTACAGTTAAGACAGTCACTTAAGGGTTCCCCTGTGGAGTTTTATTGTAAACGGTTAAAAAACATAGGTTACATTCCACATTCAACTAAATGTGATGTCTATCCTTGAGGTCTAACTAACAAGAAGACATGCCTTTTCCTCATAAAACATTTCCAAAGTATAACATCTGGATGCTTGGTTTAATAGCTTTTCAAAAATCCATTGCCTTTTTGGCAAATTACAGCCACCTGTAGATCAGTGAAAAAGCGTTGGCAGGACTGCGTATCACATCATCTATGTGCAGGTGCATGTGTAAACAAACACACTTGTAAAAAACTTCTCCATAGAGCTATTAGAGGTCAAACTCCACAGGGTTCTTTTAATAGCCCATAATGCCTTGAGAAATATACTTTTATTGTTGTAATGATTGTAAATATGACCTTTGTCCTTTTGACTACTCTCTGTGCAGACACACCATCCCAGCGGGTTCAGTTCATCCTGGGAGCAGAGGACGATGACCTCGAGCACGTCCCACATGACCTCTTCACTGAGCTGGACGAGCTCTCCTTCAGAGACGGCAGATCCACTGAGTGGAAGGAAACTGCCAGGTTAGAAAGCAACTGAAGGACTAGCATAATGACAACCTCATGGAGTGAAAGCAATACAGAACTCTATAGATCTGTTGACTTTTTGAACAAATAACAGTTTTCATGATATTTGATGCATCTGTTTCATAGTGTAAATATGTGAAATAGGTTTGTAGCATTCATAAAATAACACCATGAGTAAACTGGAAACACTGATCCTGATTGAACTTTAAGTTAATATCTTCTTTCTGTTTGTGTTGTTTATCCACAGGTGGTTGAAATTTGAAGAAGATGTGGAAGATGGTGGGGAGAGGTGGAGTAAGCCCTATGTGGCTACGTTGTCACTACACAGCTTATTTGAACTGCGTAGCTGCATACTCAACGGCACGGTCATGCTGGATATGAGGGCCAACAGTATTGAAGAAATTGCTGGTAATTTTTTCTCATGATTAAATTCAGAAAAATAATAGCTAATTTATACTCGAGTAAAATTATTTTTAATCTCCATATTAAATTCATTTTCCTTACTGTGTTTTTTCCCCCTGCTTTTCTACCAATCAGACATGCTGATAGACAGCATGGTGGCGTCGGGACAGCTGAAGGAGGATTTGCGCCACAAGGTGCGGGAAGCCATGCTGAAGAAACACCACCACCAGAATGACAGAAAACTTAGCAATCGCATCCCTCTGGTGCGCTCCATTGCTGACATAGGCAAGAAACATTCTGACCCACTCTTGCTTGAAAGAAACGGTGAGATCCTGCGACGCACTCGCATTTCTTTTTCCTCTATGTATTCTACCTCTGGGGGAACTGTTGCTTAAAAATCCACTGTTCAAATCCCTCAATGCCGTCGTAGAAGGTGGATGGTAAAAGTGAGTAAAATCAAGAGAAGGAGTCGGCCCCAATAGTGAAAGAGAAATCTGGGTGCTACTGACTCTGCTAACTTGTATGGCTGGCCTGGCTCGGGGTGATTTAAATAATGATTGTTTTTACTCCATAGGGTGACACTAAACTGCAACTGGAGTCAGCATTGTGTGTTTTTTGAGTGGGCATGGCTGCAGTGGTGTTAATGTATGGTGTTGGGTGCCAGCCTGAGGTTTAAAGAATGAAATAAATATCCCATTCTCCACTTCTGTGCCTGTGGTTCTTGTGGGGCTTGCATTTTAATATCATTAAACCTTAAACGTGAAAGGTCAAATGAATAAATCTCACATTGATGGTTGGTGATGGTTGTAGTTGGTAAGATGTATGCTTTGTGCCAAATGCGTATGCACTCTGTAGGAATTATGACTGGTCTGTTGTGGTAGAGCACACGTCTGCTTACAGTGCACTGACAACTCATCCTCTCCTGCATGCATCTGAACTCTCTCGAGGTTGACCTCCGACATGTTGTACGATTTGGTTTGTTTGGAATTGAATGATACAATTTGTGTTGGCCCCTTGCAGAACCTCCTACACGCCTCACTGAATCATTCTTAGTGTCTTCTGCACACTACCATGCTTTTCGCTCATGTTTATGCAAGCACGGTTCCCTCTAACAACACTCCTGCCACGCTCTTGCTGCCCACCCCTTCTAGCTGTGTCTCCTCCAGATACCACCTTTGTGATGTACTCCTACTTCATATGTTTATTCCTCTGCTCCATCCCTTATTCCTTTTCCCTCCTTTTCTCTCTCCCTTTTGCCATTGTCTCCTCTGTTAGGAGAGGGCCTGTCCTCTTCACGTCTCTCTCTCCACAAGGCAGGGACATCCTCCTCTGTCTCCAACCTCTCCCAGAGACGAGAGTCCAGAGTCTCCATCCTGCTCAACCATCTCCTACCTTCCTCTTCCTCCAACACTGGGCACGCCCCAGGCAGCCCGTTCCTCACCACCCCTCAAAATACCCCTGTTGCTCCCCGGCACTCCTCCCAAACCCAGGGCACAGGCCTTGGCCCTCATGGCATCCCCGAAGTGGTGGTATCGCCTCCTGAGGATGACGACCATCCACACTCTGCTGAAGAAGAGGCGGCGTCACCAGAGCTCAACCGTCGAGCATCCTCGGCATCCCAGGGCCTCGAGCTGATGCCCTTAGAAGGCAAATATCTGTGTAGCCTGCTAGTGTGAGTCACGGCTTGAACAGAGAACACTAGCACTAGCATGAAAGCGCCGCTCCCTGTTAACTTTCGCTGCAGCCATCTCATCAATAACCCACAGCAAGCCTCACTTGCTAAAACGCTCTTCCCAATGTATTAATCCACAAAGGTTTGACACTGCTCTCCGCCTCATGATTCCTGCTTCGGCCCCTTCACTGTTTACATTCTTTCAACTAACCTTTTTTTTTCTACTTATACCTTGTTTCTTGCTGCGCTCTAAAACTCACTATACTTATTTTTGCTATTCAAACTTCTCCCCCTCTCTTAACACATTTTGAAGACTCAATTTCTTGCTTGGCCCTATCCTTATTCACACCTCCTTCATTCTGGTTGCATGGCTGCCATCCAAAGTCTTTTGGTCTGTCTTTCTCCCATAATGCATCATGGTTTTTGTGATTTTATTGCCACATTTAGCTATCTTCCCCAATGTCTTTCATTGGTGTTTCATGAAATACCTGTTAAAAGCGATATCCCAATAATGTTTTTAGTAATTATCACAGTCTTAGTCTTTTTATCTGCTCATACTATTAACAAATGTTTTTTGATAGTGTTTTATATTTAGATTACAATAAATCACAGTAAAGGATTTTACATGGATTGGGTTTTAAATCTCTGATACCAATTAATGTAATTTGCATCAGTGTCAGAAAGAGATCTTGCAGATAAGCTTTGAATATCCCTAGCTCTTACGTCCTTATGTTTTTGTTATGCTGTATGACGCAGACACTAACATAATACGTCATCCTCGGATGACTGCCCCAGTTTGAGCACACAGATATAAATTTCATGCAACTTGTGCTTTTCCCATTGCATCTGTTGGCCCCCATGCTCTTCCTCCACATCAATTCCTAAGTATAAACATTCTTTTACCCGATTAAGAGCAGTGAGGGTAAGTGAGACGGGTGCCAGCAGCATGGCTAAATATAAGCTAGAGAGGGAGCTTGTGTGTATTGGTTCTCTATCTCCTATATTTTTGGCACCAACAGTGACTTTTCTTCCCAAACTACGTTGTTCCATTTTATTATTAGTCTGTGTTTGCATTTCAGTTTGTGCGTCCACCTCTGGGAATGGCTCTATTTCAAAGTATAGGTCATTACAACCAGCAATCACTTGGTGAGTGCTGAATCTGAAAGGTTGTGGTGGTCTTATTATAGCTGAGAAGCTTTGGTAATTGTACCCCCTGCTAGGAGAATATACAATATTTCCCAAGAAGCGAGTGTCCTCACATCAGTGTGTGGGTTATTATTAAGTGGGGGCTATCAAGTCTTCATCACAGCTTATTAACACTTAAGGTTGTAAATGATATGTTTTACAACGTTATCTTAAATAGCTAAACGGTCTGACTGTGGGTTGAGCAGAGAAGAACTGTTGGACAGTAAAATGTCCTTAATGTGTTCATTTGTCTGGATGAGTAGTAGCAGGTTTACAGGTTAATAGGGATTAACGAAAATATTCTAGTGAAGAATGCAACGGTTTATATGTTCTCACCTTTTTTTTTAGACATGTAATGGTTGAGTTGACCGCAGACATATATATATATATATATATATATATATTTCAGGCTACTGAACTATTAAGGAAGAAGTCATTGGTGAAATATTTCTAAACAGGGCATGTATGCCTTATTTGAGAGATTTTCATATTTTAAGCATTAATTATTGTCATTGAGAGGCAACTGGGTCAGTTATTATTTAATAATGTACTTTTACCATAACAAGAAAAGTTTCAGTCTGGTCAGAAAATCTGTATAATTTCAGTTATTTATGTTACCGTTTTCCATTTGAATGAGGTAGCGCTATGACGCCACTGTTTAAAAGGCCAGTATGGGGGAGCATTCCAGGGCTTAGCGCCCCTGAATGAAGTGTGTTGGCGAACGCAACCTATACTAATCCCTCCCTTATTCCAAGAGGCTTTGTCGGGTATGTGAGCAATCATGCTCCTGTTCAGCAGTCACAGCTACCCAGAATCCACTGGGTTTACTCCAGGGTACATTTCAAGGGTATGGATCAGTGGACATATTGCTTAAGCCTTTATTAATGTTAGTTGGCTTGGTTACTTCCTGTTGGTGAAAAGAGAAATGTGTTGTTGAAAATGAGAAAAGAACAACCTGGTAAAAGAAGTGTTGCTTTGCTATATCAGAGGATAGTATGCACATTCTATCTTTTGATCCAAATACATGACTCCCTCATTTCATTTCCCTGCTCTCATGTCACTTAGAGTGCTAGCGTTTCCTGTATCTGGTAAGGCTCAAACTACATAAGCAATGTTGAAGTATGCAGTCAATTATGCACAGAAATACCGGAGCTTCAACACTTGAAGGTGCTGAAGTCTGAGGAAAGTATACTGTCAGGCATATCAAATGCATCCCTTCAACTTTAGCTCAAAGCTGTCAAGAATTCAAGCTAAGCAGGACTTGACTTAAGCAGCACAGTATTGAGCTCAACAGATGGGGAGCAAATTGGAATCGTGAAATATATCGTCTTCCCTGTGGAGAGACATCACAGTGTTGCAGCTCTGCTTCACCAAATCATCACATTATGTGTAGTATTGCTCATTGTGCAAAAAATCCTTTCACTTCCAGCCAAAAATTGTGACATTTTAAACCTCAAATACTAGTGTTTCAATTTGTTTGACATTTTTATTTACTCTGTATTATTGTCTTGATCGCCTGTTGTACTTAAAGGGGACCTATCATGCAAAATGCACTTTTGTACGTCTTTTATACATGAATATGTGTCCCCGGTGTTCCAGGGAACTCACCAAGTGTCAGAAAACACAACCCTCTCTATTTTCCTCCATACCCAAATCTCTAAAAAAGGGGCTGCAACGGATCTGATAAAAACTGATCCAGATTTGAACACTGTCCTGACGTCAGGACGGTGGCGCTACGGCTATTGGGCCAACTCTCCACCTATCAGGGGAATGTGGGGTTGGGCCACGGCCGGCCATTGCTGCTCGAAAGCGCTGGAGACGATGTAGTACATATGCCAGGCCTGTAAGTGGCGCTGTAGTCTGCCATGCCACAAAAGCAGCGAAGAAGACTTCCCGTCCATAGTTACCATGGTTACCCTTCTGTTTATTCTCCGCTGTGGCTTTTTTTCTCCCTCCCCGAGGCAAGCGTTTGCTCCCGCTGCAAACGCTTGCCTCGTTCCCCTCGTTCCTTGGAAGAGGCGGAGAGGTGGGTGTTTGTCATCTGCTGGTGGACTAACCGGAGAGAATTACAGTGCTTGCCTCGACGGGGAGGGATTGCTCCCCGTCGAGGCAAGCACTGTAATTCTCTCCGGTTAGTCCACCAGCAGATGACAAACACCCACCTCTCCGCCTCTTCCAAGGAACGAGGGGACCGTGCGGCAGAGTTTCAGTTTCAGTTTGTTTCGCCGGTCAAGATGTCCGTTAAAGTTTAAATCTTCCGGACAAAATTAGAAAAGTGCCGGTCAAAGGTCTTCTTTGTTATTTATTGAGCTTTAAAACAAATGAATAACGACTCTATATAATAAAACACGGAGGACGGAGATCTCTTTTTCTCCCCCTCTTCTGACAGCCCAGCAGCTGATCAGAGCACGGCTCCCCTCTCCTGCAGGGGGGCGTGGTCAGCAGAATCAGACCCGTAGACAGCAAACAGCACATAGAGCGAAATGAGGCATGGCTAAAATGCATGATCTGTTTGGTATTTTGAAAACGGAAACTTATAAATATACCTTATAGGTATGGCCCTACAATATATCATTTAAATATAGCATGATAGGTCCACTTTAAGTTACACAAGATGCATGATCTAGACCTGAAGTGCCCCAGAAATTAAAAAGGCTTTTAAAATCTTTTTTTTAAATCCCATTCAAATGTAAATAATGATTGATAAAGTGGTTCGTTTTCCTTTAAAATCCCCTATATGGAATGTACATTTCATGATGAACAATACTGTTTTGTTTAACTCGTAGCATTGCATCACAAACCAGTGTAGAAAGCCATGTGATCTAAGGGTTTTGTAACAGGTTTGTTTACCAAGAGCTCACCTGTCATTCAAAATGAGTCATCCCTGTGAAATGTTGTCTCTTTTAATGAAGCCATGCCTCAAAGTACCAGTCTATCATGGATTAAAATACCCTGATCTTTTTCCCCCCACTTCTTTTAAAATCTAAGGAAAGAAAGATGCCGTTTTAATCATATCAAAAATGTGATTTCATGGTGAACCACACGGCCATTCTCGACCTTTGATTTCGAAATCCTCCGCGTCCACCACCACTTTGTCTAACTTCTGCTCCCCTTGTCCCTTTTAGGACCACTGGTGTCTCCGAACTCTTTCCCCAACAACCTGGATGGCAACAAGGCGGTGGAGAGGAGACCGTCCAAAGTAGGGGTCAGTAGAGAGGGCAGCAGTGTCGACTTCAGAAAGGTAACCTAGCCACAGTACTGAGCACAGAAACAGTCCTTCATGGTGGAGGGCCCATGACTTCATCAGTGTCTTTTCTTCAGTTTCTGGACTTCCACAGACATTTCAATGGTCTGTGTTGAAAACTGCCAGTTTGAGAGCCACCATCACATACCCTTTTTCTTCTTGGCTCAGTAAGAAGCCTCTCCAGATACTGCTTCAATAGACTATGAATAAACAAAGTAAAACAGTTCTGTGGCTGTGTTTAGTTTGGAAAAGGTCTCCCATCATCCTCCCACTTAGTGCCTCATCCATTCAATAAAATGGCTGGCTGACATAAGTAGTTATCATTATAAAACCCTCCATAATCACTGCCAAAAAATAAGGTTCAGTGTTTATATGAGTCAGAGGATACAAAAGAGGGATGAAGGCACAGTGTTCTACACAGGGATACAGATGTTCTATCCCTGTGCTCTGATCTGTATTTAGCTTTGCCCATAAGAGATATTTATCCAGGAACATAAAACAGCAACGGACAATCTTTGCTCAGTACTATGTAGTAGAATATGTAGCTACTAACCCTCATGTTTTAGTTATCATAGTATCCAAACGACCTGCTGCCAACATGTCTTCATTATTTCTGTTTGCATGTGTGTTTTCCAACATTATTTTTCTCTGTTAGTATTTTTATGTATATCTGATTTTTGGGAGAATTTAGTTTGTTCTGTGTTTTTTTTTTTTTCAGGTGGATATGAATTTCATGAAAAAGATTCCTCCGGGTGCTGAAGCCTCCAATGTCCTTGTTGGAGAAGTGGACTTCCTGGAGAAGCCCATAATTGCTTTCGTACGACTGTCCCCTGCAGTCCTCATCACAGGCCTCACAGAGGTGCCTGTGCCCACCAGGTATTATCATTTGGAGTACAAGGATGTTGAAGGGTTATTTTCGATAACAGTCGCCAAATCTGGCTGCAACTTAGAGCAAACTGACAGTCATTTGTAACAGCCCTGTTCACATGGGACTAATATAACCTGGGGATTAACTCTGGTTCTCACCGCAGTAAATCTGTGTCCGCAACACTGCTTTCCATGTCTTTAATCTCTACAGTAACAAGCCTAAGAGCCTGTAGCTACACAACTCCTGGGAAGTGCTAATGCTCATTACACACAAGACACACAATAGTGGCTCATTAAAGTAGAGGGACCACTCTGGTTTAATTGTATACTTACAAATACTTTAGTTTTGCATTAATTGAGGTAGCATAATACATGAGCACATTGATGAGTCATGATCATTTCAATATATTCCACCGATCAACAATGGTGGAAATTAGGTTTGATATTTATTGAGATGGAAGAAATCGTGTACAATTAAATGAGTTAACAAATCAAATAATGCAGTGAATATGGTATGTACTTGCCGGTGTAGTTTGTTGCATATCATTCATGATTACTTTTGTTATTCTAAGGTTTCTATTCCTGCTTTTGGGTCCTCATGGCAAAGGGCCCCAGTACCATGAGATTGGCAGGTCCATGGCCACACTAATGACAGATGAGGTGAGAGAAAGAAAGATGGATCCTTTTTTAACTTGAGTTTGACACGTTATAACATTTTATCCAGAAATAGCTGGATTTGTTGGGGGGGGATTTAAAGTGCATTTATGCAGGAGGATGCAAATGATATCTACAAAAGACATTTAATAACTCCTAATAATCGTTTTGTAGATTTTCCATGATGTGGCATACAGGGCCAAAGACCGAACGGATCTGCTCTCGGGGATGGATGAGTTCCTGGATCAGGTCACTGTCCTGCCTCCTGGAGAATGGGACCCCACAATCCGGATTGAGCCCCCAAAGAATGTCCCTTCTCAGGTTAGTGATTCTCTGTCAGATATTGCTTAATATGATTGGGGCAATATTGCATACAAAGAAATTAGTGTTTTACAGAGATGTGAAAATCAAACGCCATGAACAACAGACATACAGAGATCTTTAACCAGCTGCATACTAACACAGCGCACTTATCAGACGTCACATACTTCATGAACTCTGCTTTCACAAAGTGTAACCTTGATGTTTTTTGTCATTTCTCTTGATGTATATTTCTGTATATCACACTTTACTCCACACCACTATTATCACACAGAGTGCCCCCTTATCGATTTGCAGCATCATGACCACAAAGAAATGTAATTGTATGCAACTGTATCATATTTAAATGCCCTTTGATCTGCAGATGAAGAGGAAGATACCTTCACAACCCAACGGCAATGCGTCTCCATCTGGAGAAATGGAGAAGGAAGATGAGCACAACACAGGGCCCGAGCTGCAGAGGACGGGGAGGTGAGTCCAACACCTTTCCTCTGTCTCCACAAAGACAAGAGGTTACATCAGAAGTTACGGACACAAATATATCTATCTTTCATTACTTGACTTACTTACAATTGACTTGCTTTATAACTGAAACAGTTAGAGAACATCTTAAATGAATCCCTCCATCTAAGCCAGTTCATTTCTTGGCACACCATTTAGCTCAAATGATTATTGATAGTTACTCGCTCCAGGTATTTCTATTAACATCCCTTGTGTTTGTTGATAGAGAAATATTAGATCATTAAAGTGTGTCCTAGTTGGATTCACAACTTCATTAGCACCAGTAGGCATGTTTAATATATCATGTTGATATGAGACAAGTGCTTCTTGTTAACAAGCGCTGCAGGAGGAAACTGCTCTTAAAGACTAAGGAGCTCATTTTATCTTCTTCAAAACATTTCTGTGGTTAATAGTTAGAATGTCTGCCGGCCCTCTTAAAGCTGAATTTCCCCTTGGGGATCAATAAAGGTTAATCTCATCTTCTCTTTAAAGAAAGAGGAGATGAATTACAAGACATTATCACAGTATGTATTTTTTCCTTGTGCTTGATTTGTGCTCAGTACGAGCTTTTTGAATTATTTCTATGAGGAAATGTACAATTTTATAAACTCAACAACGGCACTATATTGATTTAGCATATCTTCTGTACTGTGTGAACTCGGATGAAAAAATATTTCCGTGTCCCTGGAGCCCGGGCCACACAGCAAGAGAGAGAGAATGTGTTTATTTGAAACCTCACACACACACACACGCACACATCAGTTTTGAGCCACTGTATTATTTACAGATTCACTCTGCTTTTCACCGCTCCTATAAAAGGCTCGTGCTACGAGGGAGCGACTGGAGGCCAGTGGAGAATATGGAAGAGTAGGAGGCTAATGTAAAGAAAGCTATCAGAAACAGCAGCTGTGCAGAAGACACAGCAGGGGTCATGGAGGCAGCAATAGAGGTTATCCAGAGGTGTGGGGAAAAGAAAATGAGAGAAAGCCTCACGGCAGAGCAATTGGACAGGTGTCAGGATAGAAAGAAAGCTATAAACGTGAGAAATGGAATCCCTCAGAGGCAAAGGGATGAAGAGAGGAGAAGGCGGAACGATCACAGCGCCATCTATGTTTGAGTTTGAGGAAGATAAAGATCGACTTGAAAGGTTCCTCAGCAATAACACTGGCTGTGCTAATACCTTTTAATTAGTGTTAAAGCAAACATGCATTGCAACACCCAGTAAATAATTATTATAACAAATGACAGTTTTAATCACATTTTCATATTAGGAAACGCGGCATTAAAGTACAACAGAAAAGTCATTTTAAAAAAACTTAATATTATTACAATGTCTAGTGTTAAGAAATGCCAGCATTTATCATTTTATTTTTCAACCATAACCTTAAAAATCACAGTTGGGTGGGTGTTACCTTTGCACTCATTTTGAACTTAAATGTAAACTTCTTATTTTATGTTGCACTAAATGAAATGCATTCACTTGCCTGTTTCTATTCTCCTCACTAAACTCACTGATGTATTATTAATTACTTGATTTTATCATACAATATCACTGCAAGCATTATGTTTACTTGAATATTCAAACGGCCTCTTCCAGGATATTTGGAGGTCTGTACCAGGACATCAAACGGAAGCTCCCGTTCTACTGGAGCGACATCAGAGACTCCCTCAATCTGCAGTGTCTAGCCTCCGTGCTCTTCCTCTACTGCGCCTGCATGTCCCCTGTCATCACTTTTGGAGGGCTGCTTGGCGAGGCAACACAAGGCAACATAGTGAGTCCAAAAGCTTGGCAACCTAAAAGTCAATACTTGTGCTATTCATGAACCCAGTGTGAATCAAAATCTAACCCTGTGTTGTGCAAGTGCCATTTTGTTCCAAATGAGATCAAATGTAATGGTACAATTAGGCTATCATATCTGAATATAGAATTTAAATTTGTGAGTATTGGAAAAGAAAGCATCTGATGTAAAAAAAGAAAAAAAAGGCTATAGATGATTCCGTTAATCACTTAGCGCAATATGTTTTTTTATTTCTTTACACCATACCATTCAACGAGTTAAGATGTATTTCTCGTGTTTGTGCATACATTACATCATACAGGGGTTAATGCAGATGTAAAGATCTGCAGTCATAGTTACATTGGCTACTGTTTCTGAAGAAAAACCTATTTTCTGACAACCTGACCATTTGTTGTGTTTTAAAGCAGGTCATCTAGTGTATGTCTGTAATCTTGCACCTACTTCACTTTGCTATTTGATATACATTGTGGTGGATGTCTCACTGCGAGTTCTTCACTCACTGTCCAATGTAGGATATGCAGGTTATTTATTTTCCCATGTTATCACACTGCTGCTGTAAAGTGTCTTTGTTTTTTTACGCTCTCTCTGTCTGCCTTTCTCTCCTGTTTTACCCAGAGGTCCCTACTAGAACAGGGACTGTTAGCATAGCGCAGTCTGTGTGCTGGTGTGTGTGATGCGTCCGAGTAAACTCAGCAGTGGAGGGCTGTACACACACATGACTTTGGACAAGTCATCAGGGTGGAAACATTGGAACAGTTTATCTAGCCTCTCAGACGCAGCCCAGATGTCTGTTTAATCAAAACTCTCTGTGTTCTCGTCGGGTCTCTTCTTCACCTCTTGTTTTCTCCTTCAGTCTCTCCCTTTCTATCCTCCTTCGGGCGGTTTCACCTCCCACATCCTCCCTCACACCCTCCCTCTCCTCTATGTCTACAGAGTGCCATAGAGTCTCTGTTTGGGGCGTCACTTACAGGAGTGGTATACTCCCTCTTCGCAGGCCAGCCCCTCACTATTCTTGGCAGCACAGGCCCTGTATTAGTGTTTGAGAAGATCCTCTTCAAGTTCTGCACGTACGTTTAAGCAACTTCGCTTTTTCTGTGATATGATACCAAGACAAACTACTGATAAGACTAAATACTCAGCAATATATGCAGCCTTTTGTTTTAAAGTGAATTGATTTTCCAATTACCAAATAGTTTGCATGTCTATTTATTCAGTTTATACCCCGTATTTGCAGATTCACTGCAGTCAGAAAACGGTTTTCTCTCCCGCTTGTTATACGCACTGACTATTATGTTTAATAATACTAATTTAATCCAATAAATCACTCTATTCTAAATAAAGATTTTGTTTAAATCTGTTTATTTTAGGAAATAGACAGGAAGACATAGAATCTTTGAATACAATATAATTATATATAAAATATAATTTGGTAAAGCCCTACATTTTCTTTTGGATTTTGATAGTTCAAATGGCAGTAATGCACGTGTTTACCTCTATCCTGTATATTCATCCCTGTCGTCTGTCGTCCGCCTTCTTCTCCCAGTGACTACGGCCTGAACTACCTGTCCCTGCGGACCAGCATTGGTCTGTGGACGGCCTTCCTCTGTCTGGTGCTGGTAGCCACAGATGCTAGCTCCCTGGTGTGCTACATCACCAGATTCACAGAGGAGGCCTTCGCTGCCCTCATCTGCGTCATCTTCATCTACGAGGCTCTGGAGAAGCTCTTTCACCTGGGAGAACACTTCCCAGTCAACACGCACAACCACCTGGACAATCTTACCATGTATTCGTGAGTACCAACATTTCAGTTACTGTTCTCATTCATTATGTTTTCAAAGTGCAAGTGATCTAGGAATTTCATAGTTTATTCTTTATATTATAAGTAAAGATAGAAGTGTATTTGAAGTATAGAAGTATACAACAAATGACTGCCTGTATAAAAGTGTCAGTGTTGATGCAAATTTGTATTGATTTGGTGTTGCTCTGGCTATGGATCGGAAGGTTTTTTTTTTTTCCTATATGGACTAAGAGTCCCAACAAGATACTTTAATTGACTATTTAAGCTCTATTTTATTCTAATATGAACAGATTAATTATAAATATTTAATAATGCACTAAATATATTTATTTATATATTCTTCAGGGACTTTTTCTTTGAGAAAATCATTGCTGCTGTTTCATAATTAAAGCTTACATGTACTTTCTAATACACTCTTTAGGTCAGGCAGGTTTCATGTTGAGAACCAAAGGGTAACATTAAGTAGTGTATTATGCACATAAATAGTACTGTATTAGGAACACATTGCTCTTGTTGCTGCGAGCTGTAATTGCAGGGGCTCGAGCTGTTCCCAGAGCTGAAAGGAAAATCACCTCCTTGCAAAATAACACATTTAAAAATAACTGATGCTAGCAGATCTGCTGCAGCCTCTGCTTTTAATTAACTTTAAAGTGAACCAAATAATTGTTTCCCCTTTTACGTAGTTCGCTCACCATTTGTTCTCTGGTCCCCAGGTGTGAGTGCTCTCCACCGGTCAACGCCACGGATCAGCTCGTGCAGGAGTGGAACCACACGGGATACACCCCCGACTCTATCCCATGGAGCAGCCTCAACGTGACGGTGAGACGGCACACAGTGACCTCCAGTGCGATGTGCAGGAATCACACTCGCATGAATAGGATGTGTGGAGCAAACAGACATCATCTCAAACATCCTGCTTTTAGAACTGAAAAACATCCACTACCAAAACATCCTCCGTACTGATACACCTTTTTATAATTGTTTTATTACAATACTAACCTATGACTCCTCTTTCTCTAGATGTGTCACACACTCCATGGAGAGTTCATAGGTTCTGCCTGCGGTCAGCACGGTCCCTATATCCCAGATGTTCTCTTCTGGTCCATCATCCTCTTCTTCACCACCTTCTTCCTGTCTGGCTTTCTTAAGCAGTTCAAGACGGAGAGATATTTCCCAACCAGGGTGAGATATTTGCTAGATTTTTACGAGCACTCTCATTGTACTTCTCTTAACATCACAAATGTGGCTTTGCCGAACGAGGTCAAATTAAATACAACTATATCTTCCCATCTGAACAGGGTCTTTATTCTACATCTCTGTGCATGTAATAGATTTAGCTTAAAGCTTCTCACGCTATGTAAATGTTGACATAGTGTCAGTCATTAGTTTGTCGGAACAGGCTTGTGTACAGAAAGAAAAGATCTTCTCGTATCCTCCCACACAGATCCAGCTAGTCTGTCATCACATGATCCTCTGTGTAGGCAGCTGCTGTATTGTCGTGCTTTTACTGTTGACATTAAAGTAATTATTACTCATTGTATCTCAACAGTGACCTGAAGTAAAAGGCTGTTTGCATTAGTGACTTTCTTTTAAATAGTGCACATGCAAAGCCGCAGTTCCTAATAGATACCTTCAATCGTGTTGCTTGTGTGTCGTTTAGGTGCGATCCACTATCAGCGACTTTGCTGTGTTCATCACCATCATGGTCATGGTGCTGGTGGACTATCTCATGGGGATCCCCTCTCCTAAACTTAAAGTCCCTGACCGCTTTGAGGTAGGCAAAGGTCTTAATGTACCGTAGTACATCATCAAATATTCTCAAATAATGACTGTATGCCTCGTATACTAAATGTAGCTCATTCCTGCCTTTTTCCCGGCAGCCTACTTCGAAGAACAGAGGCTGGCTAATGGACCCGTTAGGAGAGAATCCCTGGTGGACGCTGCTGGTGGCGGCACTTCCCGCTCTGCTCTGCACCATCCTCATCTTTATGGACCAACAGATCACTGCCGTCATCATCAACCGCAAGGAGCACAAGCTCAAGGTCAGCCTGTGGAGGTTTACTTTTGACAGTGTGATATCTTTGAGTTACACACGTTTGTTTCTGGAGCAAGTATCCTGAAAAGTTGTTTTATATTTTGTGCGAGGGATAGACAATCTCTTCTTTAATATCAAGCCTTGCAGCATCAATACACAATTTATACAAATTCCAAAACATATTAGTCATGTTTGGAATGTAATGTTGATGTTGAAACAAATGTATTATTGTACCAGATTCGTTCAATTCGTTTAAATATTTGAATAATATTAAGAGCTTTTCCTCTCCCTTCTTTGCCGTCATCTTTAATTATGGTTGAGGCTCACATATTCTTGTGTCCGTCAAAGACCTATTCATCTCCCAGAAATGCTTCAACTATAACCTTTTTCCGTTTTTTTCTGATGTATTTTTATGCTTCTACTTTCTAGAGTGCTGCTATTTTTTAAATTGTATTTAATCCGCCTCGAAAACTCAAACGGAAAACATTTGGTGTTCTTTTTCCAAGGTTGAATACAAATCTTTTAGCGAGTGTGCTCCTGAATCTGTTTTTTGTACTTCTATTTCTACTTGAGGAGAATATTTCCTCCACAGTCTGTCTCTCAAACTCACTGTCTCTTGTCTCCCTCTGTATCCTACAGAAGGGCTGTGGCTATCACCTGGATTTGATGATAGTAGCAATAATGCTGGGTGTGTGCTCCATCATGGGCCTGCCGTGGTTCGTGGCTGCTACCGTCCTCTCCATCTCGCACGTGAACAGCCTGAAGGTGGAGTCCGGCTGCTCCGCTCCGGGAGAGTCGCCAAAGTTCCTGGGCATCCGGGAGCAGCGGGTCACTGGGTTCATGATCTTTATGCTCATGGGTTGTTCTGTTTTTATGACATCGGCACTCAAGGTGAGACAAAGAGAAACAATGTAATTATATCATATTTTAAATCACCCTGAATAAGACATTTATCTAAGTAACTACCATGTGCTTAGGGAGTCATCTGTTAAATCTGTCTTCTCAACCTGGTGCAGAAAAGACCAAGTTTCTTTCTTGAACTGCAAGTGAATTGATTTGTTCTATAATTATACTTTTACTTTTTACAGTTTATTCCAATGCCAGTCCTGTATGGAGTCTTTCTCTACATGGGTGTCTCTTCCCTCAAAGGAATTCAAGTAAGACTCTGCTCTGCTGGTCTTTGAAGAAAATGTTCCTTTTTTAATCTAAACGGAACCACATTCATGAGCTTTTGGTAAAGCAAAGCTTTCCCCTTGTAGTTCCAAACCTTTGATCCTAATTCAGAAATATTTAGTTTAATGTGCTCCCTCTTGTGATTTTCCCCTTTGTGTTTGAATTATTTTTCATTAGTATTTTTTTACCTCTCTCACTGAGCCTCTGATTTTCTCCGTAGTTCTTCGACAGAATAAAGCTGTTTGGCATGCCGGCCAAGCACCAGCCGGACCTGATCTACCTGCGCTACGTGCCACTGTGGAAGGTCCACATCTTCACCCTGGTGCAGCTCACCTGCCTGGTGCTGCTCTGGGTCATCAAGGCCTCCACGGCCGCCGTTGTGTTTCCTATGATGGTAATGACCTCAAAGACAGATATGGATTCATGACAGTCAACGGTTTACTGTCACATTACAGGGTTCAGCTGTAAAAGGATGAATTAAAGTTTCTAATAATACCATGATATTGCTTTTCTGTCTATCTGTAACTAGGTTCTGGCGCTGGTCTTTATCCGAAAGCTTCTAGACTTTTTCTTCACAAAGAGAGAGCTGAGCTGGCTGGATGACTTGATGCCGGAAAGCAAGAAGAAGAAAGAGGACGACAAGAAAAAGAAAGCACGAGAAAAGCTGGTAAAATATTTTCTTTAACAAGTTCTTAGTTACAGTTATTTTAAGTGTCCAAACTAACTGTAACAATGTTGCTCTGTGGGAATAATGAGTGGATGTCAATCATGTTGCACGTTGGATCTTAGAAAGATTTTAGAAATCGATGTTAAACACACAATATAAATATATATATATATATATATATATATAAATATATATATATAATTTTTGTAATCTGGTTACCACAGGTAAAATGGTCATGCAAGCATTACATAAGAGTTGGGACCGTGTACTTTTAATTTAGATATTTAAGCGTAAACTACATGTGAGAGGTATAAACTATGTCTGTACATAAAGCAATTTAGTCTCATTAAAACCTAAAGGGTTAACGGTTAAAAATGAAACTGCATTTCCTGCTGAAAATGCGTGCGAATGCTGTAAGCCGTGTACATTTGTTGCTGAATTTAGCAGAAAAAGCTGAATATGTTAATAGCTGAATGGTCTCTGTAGCTGCATTTAGCTACATACACCAAGTAAGTGTGTTGCTGAACTTAGAGGAAAAATGCAGAAAATGGAAATGATTTGAATTAAAATGGTTAAAGCTCAAATGCATTGCAATGACTTTGTTGGAAAACTTGAAAGTAAAACTGGAAGAGTAGGACAAATAGTGATAAAGCTTAATATTTAAGTGTATGAAGTTTCCATCAGACACTATAGGCTGAGACAGTCTGTTAAACTCCAGTCTGTGTGTCTGTGCTGAACTCCTAATCATAACACCTGTGTGCCGAGATCAAAGGTTTCCATGGAGATGTGCAGTGATCAGTGAAAGGAGAGCCTTTCCATTGATCTGAATGAGATAAACATCTTACATTTCTAACTATAGTTGAAAACTGGTAGCTGCTATCGGTAAAATGTCTACGCTTTGAGCATGTCAGGACCCTGATGAGCATTTTAATGTTCTTTTTGTGTACTTTCGGGTCACTAATGTTGCTTTTTTTGGCAGATTAACTAAAGGTGTGCGGCTTGTGCTTTTAGGAAAGATGAGGCTGAATTTACAAAAAACTTGGGGTGAATTTCAAGCTCTCTTCCACTCTGTTTTGAGATCAAAGCACTCTAGACTTAACGAGCGGCGCAATACACATTAATGTTAAAATCTGAAGAAGGCCTCTTTACCAAGCTCCAAACTAAGTTAAATATCTCAAAGTGTAAAAGATATCAGAAATCTGAAGAATACATTTTACAGCTGAATGTCTTGTGACCGTTTTAAAGTTGGAATGCAGTCTCTAGCTGAAAGTATGTGGAAGGAGAAGCATTTTGCAAACGGTGTAGCTAAAAAAGGATTTGAAGGTTCCTCCCATTGAGTTACATGTTAAAAAAAGAGTTTTAAAAACTGAATATTTCAAAAAGTATAACATATTTTGAAAAAGTTGAAAGTTTCCCATCATGTGCTGAAAAGGCTGAATATTTTTGATATTTGAATGGTTTCTGTATCTGAAGTTATTCGACGGAAAATATTGGGTGAAATAAGAAGTTTCAGAACAATAAAGAAACGGAAGAACAATAGTGGCATGCTGTTGCACAGCATTCACACTAATGATCAAAAAGTTGGACAGCAGTTATAACCCCTTCCCAGAGTTTTACCAGCCTCACTTTAGTGACGGCTATTTTGTGATTTAGGCTTCCAATGCTGTTTTGATTCAGGATGACGAGACCAGACTGCACGAAGAAGAGGAGAGGAGCAGCTCAAACCTGCTCGCCATCCCCGTGAAAACCCTCTCAGGGAGGTGAGTAATGCACACTTTGAGGCCCAGTTCTGGGATGAAAGCAGGTTTATTTCAAAGGTTTAAGTGAGGCAACAGGTGTATTCTTTATTTAAACATACTCTCGTGTCACAACAAACCGCTCGTCTTTCATACTTACTTTTTGTAATGGTCTGATGCAGCAAACTACATGTTAATGGCGCTTTAAAATGTTTAATAGACTGTAAATAATTCCCAAGAAATGTTCTTCCTCCCTCATAATTATATTGTGGGTGATAATATCCAGAAACGTTGTCCATGTAGCTTGTGGTAAACGTATAAACTAATGGTAACTGTGATTCTGGACACTGGTCAGCTGTGTGTTATTATGTCCATCTTGAACAGATCATACAGAATAGGACTAGTGACCCACAGCCTCCCAATGGAAGACGAGGTAGCAGGGTTGTGTGTCTGATGCAAAACATCTGACCCACACAGCTGTGTTCTAACCCTCACTGATGCTCAGACAGTTAGCGCATGGCCTAAACTGTCGTCAAAAATAGAAAGGCTGCCTTAAAACACACTGCTTTGTGTGATTTGGTTTCTCGTTCATTTATATTTTGAGGGTAAAATCATGAGACAAAACATTTGTCTTGTGGAAATAACCTTATCCAGAGTCCTGTACTGGGTACCCTGCAAAAAGTTATGAAACGGGGCAAAAAATTATTATTTAAATAAACGGTTGCAGGCACGGGTAATAATCTCTCTTAAAAACTCAACGCAAGCACGTCTCTCTAATTGTCTCTCTAATTGTCTCAGAAAGTCTATATTTATTTTAAAGAATAGATTTTGCGATGCTGAGCTGTGCAGGTTTGCAAAACTGGACCTGTGCAAGACTCTTGTCCTTGTCTTACTAACTCAGAATGTGCATAAATTAAACTTGTGAATAATAACTTATGCCCCTAATGGAAAGGACCCACATTTCCTGATACATGTCAGCATAGAACCCACTGTATGTTTTGTCTGTCATTCATTTGTTTATTTGTGTTCATCTCTGATTTCTCTGCATGTTTGTGTCTGCTTGTTTGAACTGTCTTGCACTAAACGTCTCCTGTTGATTTGGTGTCTCCATGCTGGTCTTCTCTTTGTTTTTCATGTTTGTGTGTGTCCGTTGGTTGGTTTGTGCGTGTGTGTTTGCATTGTGGCATGAAGTTCTGATACTGACCCCTTGGTTGTAAATATCTCTGATGAAATGGCCAAATCCGCAGCGTGGAAAGCCGTGAACTCGAGTGCCTCATGCCTCCAACCTGTGAAGCGTAGCGAAAGGTAGCTATGCCATCTCCTGGAGTTTCCCAGAGCCCCACCTCCCGACTGCATCACTGTATATCATATTCACCCGAAAGGCTATGACTGCCAGAATATTTGTATACTTTAATGGAACAAACTGAGCATTTCATCGCTGCCTGGAAGGTAGGAAATGAGTTTAATATTAAATCAGGAGTAAATAGTCTATCAAAAATAGTCTCGAGTGTCAGTCTAGATCTTAATCAGCAAAGAACAGGGTTTGTTTTCTCTGTAAGTACTAATTAAAGGAATCCTCAAACTCTTGTACCCATCCAAATCCGTGAAACTCTTTTGCAAAAGTTGACAAACCTCAAAGTCTCACCTCAGAGCTGAATATTTTAACACAGTCCTCACATGTCATCAACAAGGTGAACCGTAGGTGGTGAAATGTAGTTCTAAGAGCAGATCTATCACTCCTCTACCTGACAAAATCTCACCCCTCAGCCCCCGCATAAATTAGCACTGGCGCTCACCTTGCCTTGTGCTCTCTGTCTCTGTAACAGCCAGGAGAAGATGGCCTGCGTTAAAGTCGACATCAGCCCCGACTCACCAGGAGGGGGTTCCAGCTCCGAGACCTTCCTGTGATAAACCACCACCCCCCCCCCCCCCCCCCCCCCCCCTCAATACCTCCTCCCACACAACACTTCACCCCGCTGACGGGCACCATCAGAGAGGCAGAGGGGGGGGCGTAGAACTGGAGCAGCACAACCCGCCTGCAGAGCTCCCTTCTCCGGGGGCAGCAGGTGAGCTTCCCCCCCCCCCCCCCCGGGCCCTGAGTCCCACTCCACTCGAGTCTTTGACGTGTGCAGCACATGCACAAATGGCCAATGCACTTAAAAGAAGGAATTCTGCTGTTACTGCCCGCCGCCGCTCACTGTCCAGGAAGTCTCTCCATCTTGCAATTTGACACGCATTGAAAGATGCCAAAGGAACGGGCCTCACTGGTGAGGATCATGGACTGAAACGTTTTACTTTTAGCTCACTATATATTTTAATTTCAATTTTACTGTTATTGTTTTAGCCGATCACAGTACTGTTTATTTTAAGTTAATACACCAGGAGTCGCCCTGCTGTTGTTTTTCATTTATTTAAGGTTAAATTAAGACCCCACGCAACGACACCAGCTTCAAATCCCATTTGATTAAAGCCATTCAAGTACTGTACGGATTATATTTCATAATTTGTATGGCACTGTAAATAAAACAAACCAAAAGGAGGTACATTCAGATTACTACTCATGCACCACACTACTGCTACGTACGTCTTTGTGGTGTTTTCTCATGGATCAGTCAGTATTGATATTGCTGCTCATAAGTTGGTCAGTTGTTTTCACTGTAAACGTCACTGTTCATAGTGTATGTTTATCTTATAGAAATATTATGTATGTATGTATACTGTGTTCTTTTCATTTGTAACGTCATAGAAAACCTACTTCAGAGGCCATATGAAGTCTGTACTGTACAGTAAGCACTTTGCCAGTATAGTTTCTTACCTAAAATGGATGTAAAAAATAAATGGTCACTCCTCCCACTATATCTATAAAGCTGTTGTTCAAATGTCAGTTAAAACAACTCAGGAATCTTGAATGATTTCTGACTGTGGTCACTAGGCAGTGATAATTACCTGTCCACTGTATTCCTTTCATCGCTGGCATCACAACTATTTTAATAAATGCTGTAAATCATAAAATATAGTAAGTTACAAAGTAAAAAAGAGAATATCCGTGACTCAGTTAGATGCACCGGTTTTTATACTGTCTGTATTATTGTTGGTTATAGTGTGTGTGTGTGTGCGTGTGTGGTGTAAAGATAATTTGATATGATTAGCGTTGCAAATGATTTTATGCAAAAATATTTCTACAGTAAGTGTAAAAGAAACTATTATATTCTATGAAGTTGTTCTTATTCTGCTATGTGGGGTCCTGTTTTAGCAATAAGTATTCCATACTGTGCAGTGTATGGACTGATGAACCTGATTCGTATCATCGTCTGTCTGTGTGTAGCTACAGTGACTATACGGACAATAGCTTACGTGCCTTGTCGAAGCTCTTTATGTGTAAGTCTTGTACTGATCATTTAAGTGTTCAGAACAGATACAGTACACGGCTCATTTTCAGAGGCTTCTGTCTGTCGTAGTGTTATCCCACGTCTGTGTGAAAGTCGTAGCCTGAGCCGCTGACTTGAATAATGTAACTGAATTTATCTTCCATTACAAACGTAATGTACTCTTAATACTGTGTGTGTTCTGCTGTCACAGATCAAGTATCTTCTCACATCCAAAAGCTCTGAAAACAACGCTGAGGTACTGGTTTTTGAATGATCAGTGAATGTTACATTTATTGATCAACATAACAAATGAAGATGGTGACATACTGCCAAACCTCTATTTTCTACAACTCTTACATTTTATTTGGGTCACAAGTCATTCACAAGATGTTTCCCTGCACTCATGGACAATTTGATCTTGAAAATGTGAGTTCATCATCCACCCATCATTTCATGTTCATTTTGATGAAAAATAACCTATTTTCACATAGAGATATTGGCTCAAACAGGTGGATCAACGAAAACATGGAACACTGCGTCATCACTTAGTAAACATACATTAGTACACATCCTGTTGTTGGCTTGAATTATGACTTTTCTGTCATGACCATTTGGTGCAAAGCAATAAAAGTGAATACATGGTGTTTTCTATTGTCTTCATTTTAAAACCACACATGGGATATGTTATATTATAAATGAGTCTTGAGTATTTGGCGGTTTAATTTCTCAGGTCGGGATAAATGGACTAGTTCTTTCTTCTCCCGACTCTGCACTCAGATCACACGAAGAAAACGTTTTTGTTTGGTAACTTCCCGCTATACAAGTCATATTTTTCCTTAATGGTTTCAACACTAAAGCAGGACCAATTCATAAGGAAGGCTCATTAATCTATTTTAGCTTAGCAAACATCCATCAGAAAGACATGCCAATTAGTAATAACTTATAAGACTCTGAAATACAGACAACTATCCTCATGGTATGTTTGAGACTATGGTAAACGTTTATTTAACTAAAATTAACAGAAGTCCTTCATTTGTCCCACAGCTGGGAAATGTACAGCAAAGGGACAGTGCAGAAAAAAGGCAAAACAATATTGGAAGAGTAACATATAAAGTAGAGAGGCAAGTACACGTTAATAAAGAAAAAGAAAATAACTACACATCCATACAACAATAAGTAGCAGCATTCCAAAAGTAAGTGAACATATAAAGTAATGAGGTGAAGATGTTTATAACAAAATGTATCTTTAATACGTAAATATTGAAAACAATGTGTAATAGTTCAAACGTTTTTGATTGTGTCCTCAAGGATAAAAGGAAAATGTTACGAGGTTATTTGTAACAGTTCATGCTGAATACAAAAGGTGGCAGTACAGTTCCATCTTCCACATTACAGCTGAGGCTACTGGCCCTGTAAAGATTCTGAGTAACCTTGGTTACACTCCCTGGCACACAGGTGTTTTCACTTATTGGACTAATTAGTGCTGCTCTCAGGCCTGTGGGCAGGTAAGATTGGGTTTGATTTGACATTTCCCTCACTGCTCTTTTAGTTTAGTGATCTTGTTAGGGTGGGGAACTTGCAAGAAACCCTGAGCAGCAGGTCTATTCAGCCGCGGTAAGTGAGAACACTTGTCGTTCTGCAGGGTTTATAAATGTGATTTTACAGATATATGATTAGTGCACTTGATTAGTATCAAAGTTGTCAGTCTAGATATGCTGAAGCGTATATTTGACGGTGAACCTTCATATCAGCAGGTAAGGGCCAGAATATAATATTGGACAATAATTTAAATGACCTAAAGTATTCATGTGTAAAGTGTAATCCATCCTGAATGTAATGTTTGTTCATTGTTGTGCACTGTTTTAGGAGTTGTAATACCAACCTAATCAGTATGATATCAAATTCTCATTATTAGCATATCATCTAATGTTCTTCCACAGTGGAGCTACACGTTAAATGATTGACTGTAGTCCATTTAACACAATGAAATAGATGCTTTCTGTGGCGCAGGACAATGATGTCAGTAGTTCTGATACGTTCTTTTATTTACAGAGAATCTGGAGACCCAAATGATAACATTACCATGAATGAAGGTTTATTAAACATGATTAGTTCACAACATGTTAACAGCAGCAGCCATTTCACACACTTAAGGTGAGAGCTTTGTCCTACAGGAACTCTGAATCGGGACATTTTAAAGTCTCTTTTCGCTCGGTGCCACGTGACTTTAAACCCAACAAACCCCGTCCTTTTGTATTTTCCATTAATAGTGGAATATCCATTCTTCTACTTTACTCAGGCTGTCAGAGAATTAGTGGTTCATGTTTCACTTTAGTAAAAATCACACGTCGGCAGCTATCATCACTCGGATACATTTCAACACAGTAAACAATGTGTAAAGACAATTTTATGAACTCTCATTCCAGGATTCCTCATATAAATGATCACAGGCGCTACATGACTCGGGGTTAATCACTGAAGGCTTAGTGGCCCCCTTTTAAAATAACATCTCTTATTTAGATAAAACACCATTACAAAAAATAATTACAAACAAAACTAATCCAACAAACATTGCAGCTTCTTAAAAAAGAAATGATTCAGGTTTGAGGCCTAATGCTGCAATGCTATATATATATATATACTTTAAATGTGCCTGCTGTCATTTAAAAAAAAAAAAAAGCAATCTAAAACAATGCATTGGCGGACACTATTAATTATTTTGACTATGTTCACAAGGCGTCATTAGCAATCCTTGTATATAGCAGTTAAACAAAGTTTGTATCTTTTTGAAAGTGAAAAAAACATGAAGTGACTTTTTGTTATTCCAGGTTAAATCAGTCATTTGTCTTTTGGCTCAGTCTTATATGTGGTAAAGATCACTATTGGGGAAACTATAACACTTTACTGCAACAGAAATAGTTTCCCTAAGCAGGAGGGAGACTCGTCCTCCTCTGTGAAGAAACAATGTGCCCTGGTGGAGAACTGTGGCGGCTCGTGGTTCAGTTAGCAGCGTTTGGCGGCCCCTCTGGGATGAGAGACATGAAGAAGGTGATGATGAAGGACCAGGTGGAGGACAGGAAACCCGCGTGTGGGGCGCTGTTCGGATCTTCTGCTGCTTCCTCTCCACTTTCCCCATCATCGTCTGACCCATCGTCCAACACTCCTTCCTATAGTGTAATGAGAGGACAATCGGGTGTTAAACAGTAGCACTAAAATGCACTAGATTATATTTGACTGTGAGATGAGATTCCATTATGTTAACTTGAGCATTTGCTCACTAATGCAAAGTTACTCCCATGTCTGACCAATTCAGACTCATCGTATGCAGATAAAGTATTTCAGTCAATGTCCATTTTGTACTTTAAAGTAACCCTGTAACCAACATTTAAAGAAAAATAAATTCCATTTACTTTCATAACTGTAACATGGATTTGATGACTTGAAAAAACTGTACTTTTACTTTTGATTGAAAGTGTTCTTCTTTGATACATTTCACATCACATCCGCTGAAGAGTTAAAGCAAAACGCTCTCCAGCAAAAAAGAAGTTGAAGACAATATATCATATAA